CTGAAGCAAGCTGAGGAGACTTGCATTTGCACTCCATCCCTCTCCAGGCTGATGGCTTCCCTAGGGCAGGGACCAGCCCTCCTGCTCTCCTGCCAGAGCTGTGTAGGAGCCCACCCAGTGCTCCCAGCTGCTCTTTGCTGGACATAGAAGCCAGCGAGCATGGCCTTGAAGTTGTGCCAGCAAGGGCTGAGACAAACCCACGAAGGAGCTGATACAGAACTGGCCCTGGGCTGGCCACCCAGAAGAAAGGAACCCAGGGAAGCCATGTTCAGGGGCTATAAACCGGAGTTCCTCTGAATTTGGGGAATCAGTTTGAACCCAGAATATTTCATGCTTTGTTCTATGGCTTGGTTCTGGGAGCTGTTCTAGGGAGACAGAAGGCCTGTGGCTCTGGGGCGTGATCCTCAAAGGGGTCTGTAACCCCAGAAAGGAGAGAAATGTGGCACTAAATGCACACACACACACGTGTACACACGCACACATGCACAGAAACTGGAAGAGAGTGATCTATTAAAAAAAAAAAAAAGTCATTTTAAAAACTAAAAGCCCCCACTGCAGGCCGCCTTCCAGAATCTGTTGTAACAGATTCATCCAAGCTGGTTAACGGTATTTGCGGTTTGCAAGATGCTACATGTCCCGGGAAAATGACAGACAAGTTATTATCACCTCTCCCCTGTCCTCCTGCCCAAACCTGCCTGTGCTGGGCACCCAGCTGCCGGGAGCGGGTGCGAGGAAATTAACAGCCCTGTGCCGTGCCCGCCCCCTGCCCGTCCTCTCACCCGCCGCCCCTGCACCAGCCCTGCCAGGTCCAGGGCTCCCAGCCAGGCCAGGCCCATCTTGGACTCAGGTGGGGGAGGAGGGGGAGGAGGGGGGAGGGGAGAAGAGCCATGCAGTAGGGACGGGCTGCACCAGTGTTTGGGCAAACCATTTCCTGCAAGCACTACAGAACACACGCATCCGAGCAGGCAAGTCCAGACTGCTCTGTGTCAACAGCCGAAGATAAATAAGATTTTATCGGCTCAGAGTCTGTTGAAACACATCCATCTAGCGGTTCTAGGGAAGAAGACAGAGGGGGGCATGGGTGACCTTCTAGAAATAAGACGTCCACCCAGGGGTTCTCTCTTGCCCCTGTCCTCAGACTCCAACCCTGAGGGCTGGCCCCACAAGCTCCCGTAGGAAAGGAGCTGGAGGAGTATGTGTACTTTCCTGTGTCCTCCTGTGCCACCAGATGGTGGCTCCCAGGTATGTGGCGGCCTCAGGGAAGACGCCTGGACTCAGGATAGGTTGTGTGTTCATGGGCCTAACTCATCATTGAGGGGGGCTGGTAGGTGTGTTTGCCCCAAAGGCCACTCGAGCACTGTTAGGGATATCTCTGTGTGGCGTGGGGCCAGGCAAAGGTGACCTTGCCCAGGGTGCAGAGAGGAGGAGGGGGGGCTTGACTTGTACTAGAACAATAGGCCCCTCACTTTCCACCCTTGGACCCAGGCCTCCCTCCGTGCTAGCCAGGGTCAGGGACCTGCCCACTGGAGGCTGCTCAGTGCTCCAGGAGGGGATGGTCTGGCTTGTCGCCATGCTGGTACCAAGGACAGCTCCCAGCGCGGCCTGAGCTCCTCCCTGGGGCGGGGTATACACTGCCGGCCCCTGCCCAGCCCTGCCAAAGGGGCCATGTGTCCCTCAGTTTCCTGAGATCTCCTGGGTCCCCACCTAGGGACCTCAGGGGCAGTACAGCCTCCAGCACCCTGGCCAGGACGCCCCTCCCCACAGCTCCCAGAGTGGGCTCCCAGGGACAGCCTTCCACAGGGCAGGCCTCAGCCTCAGCAATTTCTAAGCAACTACACACTGGCTGGCGACTGGAGTGTGCGGCTGTGGGTGGAGCTCAGGCAAGAGCAAGTGAGAGCCAAGGCTCCCCAGAGAAGGGCAGCGGCCAGTGTGTGGAAGGAGGCAGGACCCCAGGGAAAGGGTGGCGGTTCAGGCAGGGCTTTAAAGCCACGTGCTGCTCAGAGCCATGGGGACTGCCCGTGCCTCCTTCTGGACCCAACTCTATCCCTGTTGGAACACAGCTGAGGAGCCCAGGTGTCTCTCTCCCTCCAGGCGTGTTGGGGCTGCCCAGGAATGCGGCCACAGGGCCCTGTCACGCCTGGCCCACCTGCACTCCCAGCCCATCTTGGCCCCAGCCTCGATGGGCCTAATGACCCCATCTCAGGTCATGGCTGGGGCAACTAGGAAAAATGGAGCCTCTGGGTGTCAGTCCTGAGAGGTGACTTCAGGGAGTCCAGGCCTGCACTCCCTGGGAGCCCATTGGTCCCAGCACCTTCCCCAACTCCCCTATCACCTCCATCAGCCACCCCTGCCCACAATGGGGTACAGTAAGCATCTCATTTAGTAATGAGAGCAGCCATAGGCACTGACGGATATTGGCACTCCACTACACGCCAGCTTCTAGGGGTCTTACATGTAGGTTCTTCTCATTTTGCTGCTCCCACTAACTTTGACCCGAGCCCCCAGCCCAGGCCAGGCTCGTTTCCCAGAGTGTCTGCCACCCCCACACCTCAGCCTGTTTTCCTTAGACGAGCCTAGGCCTGGCCAACAATAGACATTCTGCAAATGCTTGCTTGAAAGATAACTCTCCAGATCCTGGGTTAGCCCCATGCACCGTGTCAGGTCTCTGCACCGTTCCCAGGGGAGGGAGAGCCTCTCCTCAACCCCCTCAATTGGCCTCTCTTGGTCTGAGCCTCTCAGAGCAGCTCCGTGGTACTCCTCAGGTTGCCCCTGCATGAGCCTAGGGCTTGTTCTGAAGCTCCCCAAGAGTAGGCAGGAGGACCAGGACTACACTGGCACCTAGTGTTAGCTTTGGGCTGGGTTGGGTTTCCTTAGTTCTGGGGATCCTCAGTGCTCTGTGAGCATCATTACACTCCACTTGTCTGTCCCAGGGAGACACCACAGGAGTTGTTGTGCACTCACTGAGTACCAGCTGCACACCTCTGTCTGTTCCATGTTGCTGAATGAGGAATCAGAGGTATCTGCTTTCCTCCAGAGCCTGCATTCCAGGGGATGTGCACTGCACACAAGAGGAGCTCCACAAGTGCTCGGCAATGGGTAGCTCACCATATAAACTTCCCCAGGCCTCAAGGACCCCAGTAACCTCTTCTCCATCTGCCATCCTGTGTCCCTCTTACCTGCCCAGGGAGGGCCCTGGCACAGAGAGGAGCCTGCCAGCACCCACCCTGCCCCTTTGTCTCCAACCTGCACAGGTGGAGACCATATTGCAGTGTATCAGTCTGGGCAGGGAGGGCTTTTGCAGGAAAGCAGAGGCCAGAAACAGGAACTCAAAGGCCAAGTAAGTCCCCACCGAGGAGTCTCCCTGCATCCAAGTCTGAGAGGATCGAGCTATGGAGAGCCCTGGGGGCAAGGCGACAGTTTTCCAAAAGTGATGCTTTGGAAAGTGAAGGGGCAGCATTTACAATGATGGGGATCTTGTATGTCAGTGATCACCCTCTGGGAAACAAGGCCGCCAGCAAACACAAGGAGACTGCTTGGCCCTGAGGCGTCCTCTGAGAGTGAGGGCTGGCACGTGGACGTGGTTGGGGGGCTCACCTTGCCATTGTGCTCTCTGCTTTTCCAAACAGTGCCTCAGCCCTCTTGCAGGGCAGGGCATGGCAAGTCTTAGCTGGGTTTTAAATGGAACTGAGGGTGCATGCTTCCTTCCACCTGCAGTGCGGTGTTGGAGGTGGACCCTGTGGACAGTGTCCTCTCTCCCTCCTTTCAGTTCCTTGCTTTGTGAGCTCTTGTACTTGCTGGGGGTACATTGGTTCCTGCAAGCCCACTGTGGGGGGGCCTTATGTCTGCAGGAGTTGGGGTGTCAGGAGTCCCCACCAGTCCTGGCAAAGCAAAGGATATAGATGTGTGGGTTCCACCTGCTCCTTCCAGCTCTGCCAGCAGCTTCTTGTCTCTGGCCTCCATTTTCTCAACCGTACCACAACAGAGTGTGACTGGCATTTCCCAGAGCATTGTGGCTGATGTGACTCATGATTCTGAGTCAGGGGGTGCACAGAGGGTGCAAGTGGCATAGAAATTGTCTTCCAAATCTGAGGCCGGGGAACATCCCTGTTGTCCATGGGGGAGGAGGGCATGAGGAGTCTTGAGTGGTTCCAGGATCCAGAAGTGGGAGATTAGCTAGCATGGAAATCAGTGAACGCTGTTGAGGCGGCCTCAGTGGGGCTGGCTCAGGGCCTCAAATGGGCAGCCTGGGCCATAGGGCATGGACCCTGAAGGTCCGCACAGATGGCTTGGTTAGGAAGGGCAGCATCCCATTGTCCCTGAGGCTGGTCCTGGATGGACTTCTTATCCCAGGCAGGGGAAACTGAGGCTTTGTGATCTTAGGGGCCTCACAGTGACCCAGACCAAGCTTCAGAGCTCGGTCTTAGTGGCTCAGCTGGAGAGAGGGTGTTGGGGTCACTGGCCATCATGAGGGGCCTCACTTGTCCAGGGAGTTCTTCATCAAAGTGTGAACGCATAAGGAGCCTCATTCTGCCTGAGGATTTTGTTCCCTTTGCAAGTTGCCAGAAAAGCCGAACCCTGGGGCTTTTAAACACAGGCTAGAGGCTGCAAACCCACCTCTGCAGTCGGGACTGAGGTTCAGGCTGGAGAAGCAATGCCTGACCCAGATTGCCTGGCTCCCAGTTGTCATCCATGCCTCCAGTTTTACCTGCCTTCCTGGATTTTACTATGCTCACCACAAAATGGACATAGGGAAGTAGGGAAGTACTGCTGCAGCCTGTGGGATACAGGTATGAATAACCAGAGAGGTGCTGAGACCGTGCCTGGTCGTTTGTGTTCTGCTTCATACTTTGAAGGAAGGAAGCCTGGAGGACTTCAGCAGGGGGAGTCACACAGGCACTCATCAGAGAGCCTCAGAAAGGGGTCCTGAGCAGGAGGCACAGCCTGGGCAAGAGTATGGAAGCCAAGTCTGTGGTCTTAGCCTGGCCCTTCTCTCCCTCCAGTACTCCCCACTACTGAAGAAGCTATACTGCCAAATCGCCAAGACGTGCCCCATCCAGATCAAGGTGTCCACACCGCCACCCCCTGGCACCGCCATTCGGGCCATGCCCGTTTACAAGAAGGCAGAGCACGTGACTGACATTGTGAAGCGTTGTCCTAACCACGAGCTGGGCAGAGACTTCAATGAAGGTGAGGCCCTGCCAGCTCCCCGGACTTTGTAGTACCAGGTCCAGCAGACTGGTGCCTAGCTGAAGGGGAGGGCTGGCCAGGGCTACCCAGCTGAGTGACTCAGGCCAGTGAGTGGGGGCTGATAGTGGGAGTTTAACCACTCCCTTACCGGGAGCGTGCAGGCCATGGGGGTGATGCTCCAGCAGAGCAGGTGGTCTGGAAGAAATTGAGGGGCTCCTCGGGGTGTGTGGTGAATCCTATGCCCTCAGGGGTCAACAGGGGAAGACAGCAACTGGCAGGGCTTAAGGACTCTAGAACGAGGACTGCAGCAGGCCTGAACCCCACTCAGCATACCCATGGGGCCAGCCCGTGTGGTCTCAGTTCTGCTGCAATGCACCTGGTACAGGGATAGCAGGATAAGGGCTGGGCCTCTCCCTGAAGCGGTGTCCCCTCCTGGCAGGACAGTCTGCCCCAGCCAGCCACCTCATCCGTGTGGAAGGCAACAACCTCTGTCAGTACGTAGATGACCCCGTCACCGGGAGACAGAGTGTCGTGGTGCCATACGAGCCCCCACAGGTAAGCCCGGGCCAGGCTGGGATGCGGGGCCCTTGGGGCAGAGATCCCATTCTCACTCGGTCAGCCAGCATGGGGCTCTTTCTCACTCACACAGGCCCTTCCCCGGGCATCTGGTACTCCCTGGTGACCACCTACTGTGTGCACTGCAGCTGGAACCAGAGTCCCAATTCAGGCTCTCTATCTCAGTGTCCCCGGCTCTATAGTGGGAGCGCCATGCCCTCTCTGGAGAGGGTCCTCTTCCTGCTGGCTTCTGAGCACTAGTCTCAGTCTAGGGCCTCTGGTCACAGGATGGGAAAGACAGGAGGTCCATGTCATCTTTGACTCTGACTAGCTGAGACAGAGCCCAGGCATGGGAGAATGGCAAACTTTTCACTGGGAGCTAGAGTTGTGGTAGAGGCCCTCTAGGCCTTTCTGGGGAACCCAGGAAGGTGACTGTAGGAGTCTGGCACAGGGATGACGGGATGAGGCCGGGACTCTCTGAAAGAAGTAGACACCAGGTCCAAGCCTTCTTCGGACTCAGAGCCAGCTTGGCGCTCAGTGTAGTTATTGTACGACAGATAGCTGGCTGACTGGATGGGTGGATGGATGGATGGACCAATGAATGAATGGTGGGTTGAGGTCCTTGTGCTGAGGCCCTGTGCTGTACTAAGACCAGTCCCTTTACCTTCCCAGGCCTGCCAGGTGTGCACGGGGGGAGGGAGTAGGACTGTGGGAAGGAGAGAACATGGCAGGGACATGTGTGGGGTACTTGAGATAGGGTACAGGTTGGAGGTATGGGTGTAGGCTGGAGGCGGAGGCCCAGGCTGAAGGTAGGGGTACAGGTTGGAGGTATGGGTGTAGGCTGGAGGCGGAGGCCCAGGCTGAAGGTAGGGGTACAGGTTGGAGGTATGGGTGTAGGCTGGAGGCAGAGGCCCAGGCTGAAGGTAGGGGTACAGGTTGGAGGTATGGGTGCAAGCTGGAGGTGGAGGCACAGGCTGGAGGTGCAGGTATGAAAGGTGGCTAGATGAGGGCAGGCCAGAATGGGAATCTAACCTTTGACCCAAGAGCAGAAAGTCCTGGGGGTACAAACCTGGGGTGGAGGACGTCAGAGTTGAGTAGCACTAAAGGGTGATGGTGGAATGGGGTGTCAGGCCAGGAGGCCTCCCAGGGAGGTCTGGTGACAGTGCGGCACCATCCCTGTGCCTAGTCTGAAACCAGTTCCCCTGGTCCCACCCCTTGATTCTGTCAGGAAGACAGGGCGGGGGGTATGTGTGTGTGACCACCCTGCAACCTCCGCTCCTGACCACAACCTGCCCAGGAATACGAAAGAAGCAGGGCACTCTTGCCCCCTGGTGGCCACCAGGGGTTGGCAGCAGTTCTGTGAAGGCTAAAATCTTCCCAAACCAAGGATGGGTTTTGTCCTGACCCAGAAACCCCCTGTTTTGTTGTGCTCCCAGGATGCCCAGTGGTCAAGAGATACAAACATCTTGGCTCTGCCTCAGAAATCTCTGGACAGTGGGGGTGTGCTGGAGGTTCCCTACCTTGCACCCTTCTGCCTAGACAAAAACCCACGGCATACAAAGCATGTACATGTGCCACAAAGGCCTCTCTCTGCACATGTGCTCACACAGAGCCCTGGAGCTTGACTTCAACCCACATCAGGAGAGGTGAAGCAACTGAATCACAGACTCTGCTTCTCTGAGAGCAGAGACCAGGTCTGGGCTTTCTTAGAACCCAGTCAGCTTAGTGCTTACTTAGTGTGCTGGATGGATGGATGGATGGATGGGTGGATGGATGGATGGATGGATGGATGGGTGAGTGGATAGATAAATGGCTGACACAACCACAGATCTTCCCCTGGTGTGGTGTTAGGGGCTTCTACTCCTGTGGATGGGCCCTGCACACTGACAGGGAGCCCTTGCCCTGCCTCCCCTGTTTTAGGTGGGGACAGAATTCACCACCATCCTGTACAACTTCATGTGTAACAGCAGCTGTGTGGGAGGCATGAACCGACGGCCCATCCTCATCATCATCACCCTGGAGACCAGGGAGTGAGTCTGCTGGTGACAGGACGGTAGAGGTGGGGCCAGGACTTGGGCCAGCACTGTGTGGGTGGGGGTAGGGTCTTGTCATAGAGGCAAGGAAGCCAAGGCCAATGACTGGTGCTGAGTGCTGGAAGCAAGTTGGGGGAAGGGGCGCTGCAGGCCTGGTCTGCGGGCACTGCTTGCACAGATCTGGGCCTTGGGAGAGAGGTCGGGGAGTCCCAGGTCGATGTCTCAGAGCAGCCTTGAAGCTTTGACCCTGTGGCTCCTTCTGGCCAGAAAGCTGTTGCTGCCCTTGGCCTGTGCTACGGGGTCTGCAGTGGATGGGGAGGGTGTGCAGGGCTGGGTGGGTCCCTGGAACTCACATTTCTGCTGTACCCACCCAACAGTGGACAGGTGCTGGGCCGCCGGTCCTTTGAGGGCCGCATTTGTGCCTGTCCTGGCCGTGACCGCAAAGCTGATGAGGACCACTACCGCGAGCAGCAGGCCCTGAATGAAAGCGCCACAAAGAATGGAGCTGCCAGCAAGCGTGGTGAGTGGGGCTCCAGGCTGGGTCATGGGTGAGTCACACTGCAAGATTGAGCTGGCCATGCTTGGATGGGGGCCGGGATGACCCACTGGCAGGGCACCATGCCAGCCAGGCAGGGACCCACCCCCTCGGGGCTAAGAAGCCTCCCTGGCTGAGCCAGACCCAAGTGCAGCCCCGACAAGTCACTTGTCCCTGGACCTCAGAGTACATGGACCCATGTGGTACCCTGGGTCCATCTCCATCTGGCATGGCAGGTACCCTGGTTTGCCCTGTGCCTGTGCTGCACCCACAGGTGGGTCAGCTCACATGGAAGGTGTCTACCACCTGGGCCCTGGTCCTTGCCCTCTGCATGTGGCTTGGCTCATCCAGCCTTTCCTGCCCTGCCCTCCAGCCTTCAAGCAGAGTCCCCCTGCCATTCCTGCCCTGGGTGCCAACGTGAAGAAGAGACGGCACGGGGATGAGGACATTTTCTACATGCATGTGAGTGAGCACTAGGGTTGGCAGGACAGACATGGAAGGGTGATGATATCTGCCTGGTCCTGTCATCCACCAAGCCCAGGCTACAGTGTCCAAGAGGACAACAGGGGTGGGCAGGGACAGTCTGGCTCATCCTGAGAGCTGAGACCAGAGCCCTGAAGGAGGTGGGACCAAAAGGAGAACCAGTTCACAGAGCCATGCTCGATAGGGCTGGACTGCAGCGAAGGCAGAAGGAGCTGGCTCAATTGGCTCTTCTGACAGGCTAATGCATGAGTGCCCATTACAACACAGGCTTCGTGCAATGCACTGGGTGTGATGTGGATCCACCTGAGTGGAAATTCTGCAGGAATCCATAATCCTAAAGTGTGGCAGGCAGCCTGTCCCAACTGTGTTTCTAAAACTGTCAGTGACCACTTGGCTGGTGAATTAAGTCGCCGTGTGCTCTGAAAGGACCCTGTTCCATGATGGGAACATTGAATGTTTCCAATTCTTCAAGAATGAGTCCCTGGTCTGTGTGCTGGGTGGAGGAAGAGGACCAGAAACCTGGGACAGGAAGGAGTGGACATGGTTCCACTAGACAGGGGCCCACACACCAGGTCAGGGTCTCAAGCCAGACCTGCTTCTGGAAGAGGAAAGAAGGCTGGTGAACCCTGAGCCTCTGGGGTGTCAGGTAACCCCAAGAAAAGAGCAATTCTTTGCCGCAAGCCCAGGATCCTCCCAGGGCTGCGGCTGCTCCCTCCCACTAGGGGGCAGTTGAGTCCAGCATGCACCCCAGCAGGGGGTCGGCCTCTCTGTGCTCAGGTGCGGGGCAGGGAGAACTTCGAGATCCTGATGAAGGTCAAGGAGAGCCTGGAGCTGATGGAGCTGGTGCCACAGCCGCTCGTGGACTCCTACCGGCAGCAGCAGCAGCAGCTCCTGCAGAGGCCGTGAGTAAGCCCCAGCTGGCCCACCCTGGGCTCCACCATCTGGGTAGGGAAGGGGTACAGGACAGGTCAGCCCAGCAGGGAGAAAGCAGGGCCCTGAAGCTGTAGACCACTGGGACAGATAGCAGGGCTAGGGTACCTCAGGGTTCCACCCAGCATCCTCTCCTCCAGGGAACTCTTTGCAACTGTGGGCTGCCCTGGGACCCTGGGTCACAGCTTTCACTACACTTCTTCCTTCCAGGGGCCACATAAATGTCTGCTGAGAGAATGGGAAGGCAGGGAGGGGACAGTCGGAGGTGGGTCCCAGTGGTGCGGTCATGCACACAGTCAGCCCCACACATGGAGGCCCCCAGCACCTTGCTGGAAAGCAGAGGGGCAGAGAGGCTCGTGACCAGCCTGGGGTGGCGGGAGGCTGGTGAGAATGAAGCCACTCTGATGGTTCTGTGAGGGTGGGGGATCCCCATCCACCAGCACACAGGGGCTGCTATGGAGGTGCTGGGTCAGGGAGGAGCTGCCTTTGCCTCCTACAAATGAGCTCTGTTGCTTTCCGAGCAGGAGCCACCTGCAGCCTCCGTCCTACGGGCCCGTCCTCTCCCCGATGAATAAGGTGCATGGTGGTGTCAACAAGCTGCCCTCTGTCAACCAGCTGGTGGGTCAGCCTCCCCCACATAGCTCAGCAGCTGGGCCCAACCTGGGGCCCATGGGTAAGTCCCTTGGGCAGGCAAGGCCCTGGGAAGGTTGGGGAGACCCAAGGGAAGGCCTGGCTGATGACACTTGGGCATTTCAGTAGCTGCCTCCCCCAGGGGCTCCAGCCTACAGGCAGGGCGATGGCCACAGGTGGTTTGCTCTGTCCACTCCTGATCCCAGGAAGGAGGGTCTGTGTCTGATAGGAGACAGAAGTGGTGTGGATGAGGCATGCCTCATGTGCCTCCTGACAACCAAGGGAGCTTGGAGAAGGTTCCTAGCCTCACAGAGCCTCAATTTCCCCATCAGCAAAATGGCAACAGAAGTACCAGTTTCCCTTTTTCTGAGGATTAAATGATGCAAGTCTTTGTCGGGGCCAGGGCATGTGGGGAGCTGGACAGGTGGAGTTTGGCCTCCTCTGCAAGGTCCTTACGTGGACACAGCTGGACACATTCCTGATGCTGTGAGCACCCCCAGTTTTGTCCTGAGGACCTAGCATAAGAGCCCCTGGGACCAGAAGGCACTCAAGTGGATCACGCTACTGTCATGAACTGAGTGCTCTGTACCCAGCCACCCTCCATTCCTACCGCGTGGGGAGAGGAGACAGGGCCTGTTGTTCAGACTTGGGCTGGCCATTGCAATGCTGAGTGTCACATTTCTAGGCTGGACTCTAGCCTTGGGAGCCTCCCATGGTGTCCAGAGCCTGGGCAAGGCCTGTCCTAGATGCTAGACCCGGCTCACTCTGACAGTCCACCCTACCCTCTTGCCCAGGCCCTGGGATGCTTAACAGTCACAGCCACGCCTTGCCAGCCAACGGTGAGATGAACGGCGGCCATAGCTCCCAGTCCATGGTCTCGGGGTCCCACTGCACCCCTCCACCCCCCTACCACGCCGACCCTAGCCTCGTCAGGTGAGTGGGCTGCCGCTGACCTGCATCCCTTCCATTAACTGTGCATGGCTCCTGCTGCAGGGAGCAGTCTCGCTCGCATGCTGCCCAGCCCCACCCTGTCCTGTTTTAACCGCTTGACTGTCTTGAGGACAGACGGGCAGGAGGTGTCACATCAGGTTTATCAACAGACTCAGTGAACGGTCGCTTAGAAAGGAGGGCACAGACAGCCAGGGCTCCTGGACCAAGGCGCCACAGGGCGGACACACCCGAATCCCAAGGGAGCCGAAGTTTTGCCTGCTGCCGTTGCTGCCTGTGGGCAGTGGGTGGCCAGGAGCTGCCCTTTAGGGGGCTGCACCACCCCACGCAGGCTGCTCCTCACGAGGTGCGAGGTCCTGCACAGGTGCTTGGAGTTAACGGCGCTTTGTTTCTTAAATTCTCTCTGCAGTTTTTTGACAGGATTGGGGTGCCCCAACTGCATCGAGTATTTCACCTCCCAAGGGTTACAGAACATTTACCACCTGCAGAACCTAACGATAGAGGTAAATGCCCACAGCCCTCCCTCGGAGGCCGGGGCCCTGGCCCAAAGGCAGGCAGTGCTCTCTCGCTGGGACAGCCGTTTGCTCTCTTTGGGTGACTGGGGGATTTGCAAAACCTTTCCCACAGGCAAACAGAGCAGGTGCACTGTCCTCAACATCTGACTTCCATTCTGAAGCCATAGGAACACCCGGCTGACAGTGTAGGAGACCAGGTGGACACAGCCAAGGCCTCTGGGAACTAGACCTGAGGGTTTTCTCTTTTGTCAGAATCTTCTGTGCCCCAGCCAAGCAGGCAGCCTTTGGATTCTGGGGTTGGGCTTTTTCCAAGGCACACACACACACACACACAAAATTGAGGAATGCAGGAGCCAGAGGGATCTGACGCAGTTCTGAGCTATATATGCAGGGAGAAACTGAGACCCAGAGAAGGCAAGTGATCGGTCCAAAACCACACAGCTCATCCTACACATATGACACCAAATGTTGTGGGTTGAGTGTGTAGGCTGGAAGGACCACAGGTGTCATGACTACACAGCCATGGCTTATCTTTGGGTTCAATAAGAACACTTGTGACCAGCCCCTGGAGATTTGCTTGTAGCCTAGTATTGCCCTGAGACGTCCACAGAACCCAGCGGTCAGTCTTGTGGTCCTGGGGCCTTAGCTCTGCACCGCGGAGCCCTGGGCAACTCCTGCTTCCCAGCCATCTGGCGTGGCCTGGGTACGTACCCAGCCCAAGGTTCAAGCCACAGTGCAATCTTAGAACCAGCACCTCACAACCCACTCAGAGGTGGCCGTGTGTCTGCTAACTTCCCTCCCCTGCCTTCTTCCCAGCGCCCCATGTTACAGCTTTAAGGCCTGTGTTAACCCTTGCCTCACCAATGCGATCTGTGTGCTTGGCATGGTGCTTGAGGCTCTGGGATGAACCAGGGTGGGCTAACGGGGAGGCTGGACGGCAGGTAGTCCTCCAGGGCTCCATCTCTGCTCTGACTGTGGTCACATAGCCCCAGGAGAGGCCTCCGTACACTCTCCCGTCCAGCTCCCCTTGCACGTTGATTGTCAGCTCCCCTGCAAAGAGGAGGTGTGGCCAGGTACTTTATGCAGGTGGTCTCTCCCAGCCACTCTGTCCCTTGTGCTGTCCATGTTCCAGGACCACAGTGGTCCTCTGAGGTAGGGGCTTCCTCAAAGGTGAGACATCCCTGGTGGGAGGAGGACATGGGACACGGCCCTGTGCTGCCCCCTTTCCCCCTAAGGCTGTCATCCTCTTGCAGGACCTTGGGGCCCTGAAGATCCCTGACCAGTACCGCATGACCATCTGGAGGGGCCTTCAGGACCTGAAGCAGAGTCATGACTGTGGCCAGCAGCTGCTGCGTTCCAGCAGCAATGCTGCCACCATTTCCATCGGGGGCTCAGGCGAGCTTCAGCGACAGCGGGTCATGGAGGCCGTGCATTTCCGCGTACGTCACACCATCACTATCCCCAACCGCAGTGGCCCGGGCACAGTGGCCGGCCCCGACGAGTGGGCGGACTTTGGCTTCGACCTGCCCGACTGCAAGTCCCACAAGCAGTCCATCAAAGAGGAGTTCACAGAGAGTGAAAGCCACTGAGGGGCCTGGCCTCCCAAGAGCCTGTGATGGCCTCACTTTGTCCTCCTCTGTCAGAAATGGCCTCCTTGGCAGGACCTGTGGGCTGTGCCCATGGAAGAGGCAAGGACCTTCTGCCAGGCACCACTTCCAAGGGGACGTTGCGACCCTTCACTGGCCCCCTGACCGGCCCAGTCACTGAGGCTGCCTGCGGACAGCCTGAACTGCCCAAAGGAAACTTTTGGAGCTGTGTGGGCCAGGTGCCGGCCAGACACCAAGGCAGGGGCTATCTCTGTGTGGGTGGTGATGCCAGCATCTGTTCTGTACACACCATTTTTCCTTGGGGACTCTGCCATCTCCCAACTGAGAGAAATGCTTCTCTTTGCTGGTGGACTGCCAAGAAGTATTTTCTGAGTCTTCTGGTTCTAGGTAGCAATGAGCAGCCAGGGGACTGGTCTACACCATGCTTATCTGCAGGCTAATTCCAAACTGTATCTTTGTCCAAGGCAGGGCTGGAGACTCCTCTGTAGACCGTGAGGACAGCGCTGTCCCTAGCGCATGCTTTCTGTGTCTCCTGCCCAGAACAAAGTCAGTTTCCAGGACTTGAAGAAGACTGTGGTGGCGGGTGCAGCCCCTCCCTAGATGTGAGGAAGCTTCCGGCGTTGACCTCTTAGCAGACAGAGGGATGGCATGTTACTCAAGCTACTGGAAATTGATGCCATTTGATAAAGTGACACTCATTCTGTACAGTGGGTCAGCTTTTTTTTTTTTTTTTTTTCCATTCTCCACATTCCCTTCTCAGATCGACCTGAGCACATTCCTGGCTTTTCCACACTGTGTCAACAAGCCAGGCTAAGAAAACCAAGTGACAAAACAAGCAGAGACGTCACTTGTTCCCAGGATGGCCGGATGAGGGACGAAACCCAGATAAGGTGGCTGCGGAAGGGCAGGGCAAACCTGAGCTGGAGCCAGTGTGGTGGCCTGGCTGCTCTGCTCCCTGCAGCCACTTCTGTGAGAGATGGGGACAGCGTGGAGATAGTGGTCCAAAATGTCCACACTCAGGGCTCAGAGGCCAGGCCTGTGCTGGGATGCTCTCCCATCCTCGGAGACAGCATGTCACTGGAGCAGGTGCAGGGCAGCTGGAGAGCCCTAAGGGGTTAGTGTGCTCAAGGGAGACAGCTTTTACATGCAACCACCCGACGGGAGGCCCCCTCTGAGCCGTGGCAGTTGCAGCACCTGTAGTCCAGGGCAGGAAGCCTGCTATATGAAAAGAAGCTGGTTACTCTGTGTATAGGCAGGACAGGCTGCTGGCCTCTGTCAGGGTACGTGTGGTGGCATTTGCTCCTTCAGCCTGGCTCTTCTCTCACCAATGTCACCCAACGGAGGCAGTGAAGCCCCCAGTCAGAGGACGTGGTGTAGACACCCCAACAGGATGGGCTCCAGACTGGGGCCAGGAAGGAAGACGACCAGTGTGCCATCCCCAGTCTCAGCAGGTTGTTCTGACCCAGAGTAGCCTCCCCACCACCCACCCTTCCCTGGGCCTGAGAACACAGGTGCCTGGGTGCATGCAGAGTGGCCAGGCTGCCGCTGGAGGCTCCAAATGGAGTCAGGCTGCTCACTTGGGCCCTTCCAACCGAGGAGGGGTGGCTTTAACTGCCTGACCACTAGGGATCTCCCTGGAAACACACACCTGTGCCCAGGTGATCAGCTGTAGCCACGGGCTCCCAGCTTTCTGGGCGTAGGTGTGGCAACCCTGGCCTCATGTTAGCTTCCCAGGGACAAGTATGCTCTTGTCCTTGTACAGATGAGGAAATGGAGGATAGGTGGGCTGCACTGTAGGCTTCAGGCATCAGTCCATCGGGAAACTGGACTGGAGGCTTCAGGCTTACTTCTGAGATCACACCCTGCAGCCCCAGTTCTGCCTATTCCAGCTCGGGAGCCACCCAGGCCCCCCTGATTCTGGCTGAGACACACTTGGGTCCCAGGCTCACACATGATGTGTTCTCAAGCACTTTCCCTGTTCCAGCCCTGATCCAGAAGGGGCTGTCCCAAGGGCCCTACCTGGTGTCCTTGGGAAGAGTTGGGAGTGGGTGGCTGTCACCAGGACCCCAGCCAGACCTTTGAGGAAGGAAGCCTAATCTTCAGTGGGGGCTCAGGTTGTGTGTTTCCGCAGACCCTGGCTAAACCCCAAAGCCATCTGACGAGATGGGGTGGGGGACCCTCAGGAGAGAAGTCAGTGGGTTAACCACAGAGACCTCCCCACAGCCGAGGACATGCAAATCACCAGGAACGAGCATCTTACCAGTTTGAGCTCTTTGTTCTAGAAAACTCAAAAATCAAGAAAAATTAAATCTTTCAGATGTCAGGTCTCCCAGCACTGAGAAGGTGGCCTGGAAGTTGCTTGTTGAGCGATGACTGCACAGGAAGGCCTGGCATGCACTTCAGCCTGCCTTGAGAAGTCCTGGTATATCCACTCAACAGCCTGACACTGCCTTTGGCCATCTCCAGATGTTTGACCCCAAACCTGGGCTGCCTCGAGCCGTCACTGCACTCAGCTCGCACCGCCAGCACCAACTCCCAATGTGCAGGAATCTGGCATAGAGTAAACCTTGTCACTTAGAATGTGCCAGTGTTTCAGCCAGTGAAAGCACTTTAATGCTTTAGGGCTTAAAAAAAATACCATCCATGTTTTTAATGTAATATAATGCTTCTTGAAGCAGTATTAATGGATATATCCCAATGATATTATTAACTTTTTGGTAATGTAATCTTAGAAAAGCGTGTTATTTTTTTAGCAGTGTTTTGGTGGGAATTTTTGTTTTTGTAACATAATAAAGCCCATATTCCAATGTCTGGGTCTGATGACTTCACTATCCCGGGCTCCAATGGAGACTTGGAGGTGCTCAGAGGCAAGGACAGACACAAACAGGCGCTTCTGTGCCAGCAGGAAGCGGGCAGCCCCCACCCTGGCACTGGTAGCACTATTGAGTCTCTCAACAGTGTTGGTTCTGGTGAGGAGGAGGGGAGCGGTTATCTTCCATCTGGTGCCTGGAAGAAGGACCCGTGAGAAAAGCAGGAACCTCCCAGGGCTGACCACGCCTCAGCCCAGCCACCTCAGGCCTCCTAAGACAGTCCTATGCCCCCATCCGTGGCCCATGAAGCCAGGGCCCTGCCTTTAGCTGCTCTACTGCCAGGGATGTCACAGACGTCCCCGAAGCCAGCATGCTCTCGCTTCCCAGCAGGACCTAAGAGAAAGATGGGCACAGAGTCTCAGGTCAGCTCCACACAGGCTTCATGGACAAATGGGCCTCTTTCCCTGGTCCTGGTTTTAGGTTTCTCAATTTCAGAGGCATGAACAAGTGACTGGGGACCTGTCATGACAAAAATAAGGCTCTAGAAATCTGCCCAGCCTGAAGAGAGGCGTGTCTTTTAGAAATTGGACAGAAGCAAAACAGAAGGACTGAGGTAAGATGCAGAGATACCTACACTCCTCCGTGCCTGCTGAGGTTGCCCACTGCCCACATGAAGCACCATTGCTTCTCCCTCTGCCCTGGCCTCTATGCACAGGTGAGCCCAGAGGTGAGACGCAGGTGAAGGTATGACCAGGTGAGGCGTGATGCTCTAACCCTGGCCCCAACAATGCCTTTCTGGTGGCACCTCTCAGTGTTTGCACCAATGACCTGCTCATCGCTGCCCTAGACAGATAACGGGTCCACTGTGGGGTGCCCCCATGATAGGGTGCTGGGTTCCGGCAGCAGTCCTCCCTCAGGAAGAAACGGCAGACAAGACCCCAGGGGACGCAGGAACAGGAATCAGTTGCAGAATTGATGGGACCTTGCAGGAAGGTAGGACACTTGGCTGAGAACACGGCCTGGATGCTGGTAAGGAGTCATCCCCACACTGTTGACTGTAATGGAATGGTGTGTGACACACAGCAGGGTCTTGCTGACCTGTAGCCCCTGGAGCCCACAAAAAATATAGCAGCTTCAGTTGGCCACTGTCCCCCGGATGACCTGGGGGCGTAGACACGTAGCCCAGTCTCCGAGAGTTAATGACGCGTAACTCAGTTTCCCAGGACTGACCACCCCCATCTCTGCAGACCCCAATAAAAGCTTGAGGTCTTGGAACCCCAGTGCAGCAGCACTCCTTCTTAGTTCGTCCACCCTCCTGTTGAGGGTGCACCTTCGCTTTGCTCTGCGTTAATAAACCTGTCCCATCCCTCTCATGGGAGCAGCAATCCCTGTTTTCTGCTGCCCGCTGCTTCTCTGGGTCCCAATAAACCCCTTGCTTCTCCTACTTGCTTGTCTTGGTAAATCCTTTTGCCAGTTTAGCACCAAAATCCCCGACAAGAATACCCTCCTGGGAACAAACAGACACCAGTCTGTCAGCACAAGTTTGAACATTTGTTACACCCAACTGCTTATCATATTGAAAAAATACTTGTTAGAAAAAAACATCTCCTTGGACTGGAGGTATGGCTCAAGCGGTAGAGCTCCTGCTTTGCAAGCACAAAGCCCTGAGTTCAAATCCTAGTCCCTCCACCCCCGCAAAAAAGGAGGCATAGAAAAAAAAAAAACATCTCCAGTAGGTCTGCCATGCAATTTCAAAAAGATAATCTGGGTTCAAACCAGACCTTCCCCCTTGCAAGGCACCGTCCTTTGTGGGAACATGCCAGCTCTGTAACTAAGAGGAAAAGAGAAGGGTTGCTTCTGTGCTTCCCAGGAGCAGTTGGTAGAAAACAGCATCAGCTCACTCCTGTATGACATCGAAAGAGAAAGCCTGTTCTCAGCAAAAATAATAAATGATGAATAACTTTTAAGATATATGGATGGTTCATATTTCTTAGGAATGGTATCACACATTACAATGAAGAAAACCACAGATTCTTCCAGAAAATTGTTTACGGCTGTAACTGCTAAAAGAGTCTGATGACTCTGTGGCCTGCTCCCTGCCCTTAGCCAGCCACATAGATTGGCTCGGCTGGCCACATAGATCTGGAAGAGGCCGTCATTTGTCCACCCACAGCCCAAGAACACATCTCACCGGGCAGCATGATGTCAGATGCTGTCTGAAACGTGCACAGTGCAGATGGTCACCCACAAGTGACACTGAGGCTGAAGTTGGTACCTGGAACCTGGAATGCAACTTTCCCCTGCACAGGAG